AATGGACGCGTGCTTTGTGGCGTACGAAACGGAGCCTATTTCCTCATGCTTTGTGTGTCTGTTGTTCTGGCTTCTGTTTCGCTATTCTCATGCTCCAATGTATCGCAAACTCTCGGAGGATAGGCAGAACGGTAAACGTTGGCTGTGTTCATGTTGTTGGTATTCCTAGCCTTTCTCCCACAACTTTGCTTATTCTTAGTTGCTGCTGGTGACGGGGCATGTACTTGAAACTTTCCCCTCAATCCAAATGTTAATGCCACTGGGCTCGGATGACCCCCGGATAGCGGCTCTCTTGGCTTATTGGACCCAAGCAAATGGCTCATTGGCGCCTGCAAGCCTACAGATACCTGAATCACCATTAGCCGTCTGCCATGTATGATGTTGGAGAGAGTCAGGGGAGGGGAAGATCAAGAAACAACCAAACCGTGTCAACCAAGCTTGTGGTTTGCTTGATTGGAGGGCAAAGTGCTGTAAAGCCGAGCATACCAGGCCGAAGATCAGACAGACATTTCTTCTCCCTCTGGAACATCATGTACTCCAGATCTCACCACAGCAAGCTGACTGTCTCTCTGCTGACTGAAGTCTATTTGACGGTCTGGTTGACAGGGCAGGGCAGGCAAGCTGGTGGTAAGGCGCGCCGCGGGGTTGTCTCTTCCCAGCTGAGGTCAAATTGAACATGGTCATTTATTCCATGTCTGAGGATAAATAAATTGGGTGATTTGGAAATCGAAAAGCAGCTATGTGACTCGTGAGTCGATTTGGAAGTTGGAACTGCCACTTTGCATCTGACGCCTTCTCTTCTAAGCCTGACGTTCTCTGTACATTTGAGCGGGAAGGCAGAGAGGTCAGCTCGGGTCCTGCCACGTCTGACGTTGATGGTTCCTTCCGTCTCATCAACGCAGATACGTACAATTGGCTTCCGTCCTTTTCTTATCCTTCCTTCCCAGGTTCCCAGCACTGAGGTTCTGCCTAGAAAGGAACATATTCACCATCCACCACCTAAGGTTGGTACCTTCCCACCATCATCCAATGTCGGGACCTGCACTCCTGGTGACGTGATGGGAATTAAACAATCATCGCGCCTGGCTGAAGGACAGCTCGTTCAGCGTCTTTTGTCATCCGGTTTCTCACATGATTTTCGAGGCTTTCTTCTTGATGTATGATGCTGCATACATAACACCCTTTACGTACTTTGACACCAACCATTGGACGACGTGGTGCCGATCTTGCTCTGCCGTCTGATCCTGCTGACCTGGATCTCATCTCTCAGCATTGTGATTACGCCCTCTCGATCATCGCATCTGTTTGCAGCTCAGTTCCTGCAGCAACGTGCACTTTTCACCCTCCCTCCCTTTGGCCACGGATCATCCAGCTTTTTTTTTTTCTTTCTCGTGCGCCATTCGCTAGCATCCGGCGCAACTTTACGTTGGTGCATCTATCTAACCAACCATTCTTGACTGACAGCAACAATAGTACGGAGTAGAAATCACAACCACAACAGCAGCGTGGACCGAACAGGCCGGGCCCGGTCAATTTGCCGGACGGGTTTCACTCATCACCGACCCCCTTGCTCAAGCCATCGAACACGAAAGCCGTCGAGGCCAGCAGGTGGCCCGACAAAGAGGGAGACTGTATACGCGGCGTCCCGTCAGACCTCGTGTGCAACAGTGCACCTACCACAAGTCAACCTACTTACTCGATCCGGACACAAGGTTTTGGCCTTCCCAGCAGGACGGCCCAGGAAGGGCAACCGAACTGTAGCACTCTACGGACATACGTACAAAGTGCACAAAGAAGGCTTCGTCCTACCCACAAAACAAAACCCAACAGCCAACAACCACCCTGAGAAACAATCACAAGAAGCTTTGGGTAAAAATAGCTTCGCGGCGCCTCCCTTCCCCAGTTGCGCCCCGTCCCACGCATCATCTCATCCACAGTCCACACCCATTCCATTCCAGTGGTCCACTCCAGCCCGAGGTCGCGGCACATCAACCCGCTTTCGGTTCATCCTCCCACCTGCCCGCCGCGCTTGCCCGCCTCGTCCCTCATAGCCGGACCTAGCACAGCCACCTTTGCACACTTCTTGGGATTCGAGAAAGGCACAAAGAGAAGCAAAGCGAAGAGGACGACCGGCCCGTTCAGATCTCGCCATTTGGCAACGTGCTCTCACCAGCTGACGGCTAGCTAGGCCGTTCCGAGAGGCCGAGACAGAACAACGCACACCTCACCGTCTACGAGCCTAGTCTGCCAGTCCACGCCTTTTTTTTTTTTTTTTTCAATGTCGATCTAGAAATACGTCTTTGCGACTTGTTCTAGCGCCGATCCCGGCATTCTTGGGATTCCGAGCCACCCCTTTCGTCCTACAGTACGGATATTTTGGGTCCATTTTCGCTCCCTCATGCTCCCCGCGACGGCGGTCAACTCCTCTGCTGCCCGTCATCGCGTCCTACCTACGTTTTTAGAACGAATCTTGCAGGCAGCTGACGTCTGGTGCTCATACTAGGCAAGTCAACGAGTCGTGCCTCAAAAAAGTACCACAACACGGTGAGGCGTGTTGGCCGCATTTGATGAGGCTCCGGGCATGAGCCCCCAAATCCGACTTGACATCCGATCACTTCATCTCCAAATCTTTCAATGCGGCGCCGCATTTCTGGATCCTCACCTCACTCTGCAAAAGTGGATGGGAACAAGGGGTGACCCTTTCCATTTTTCGCACTCAAACGGGGTGGCTCCTGTTTTTTCAGGGACCGCGTTGTGGTGCTGGCCGTGGAACCCGGAACCATTCCAATCTTGGATCAACATTGCAGTGCCATCCCCACACTCCGGCGCGACTCGGCCAACGTCGTCCCCGCCGTCGGAGCTCGGGTCCTGCGAGAGAGAGGCAGAATGCTACTCTAGTCACCGGCCGCGCTGACGACTCCGGTTGCGTCGTCTTCGCAGGGCTGAGCCGATCCGCACGGTCTGGCTTTCGCCATGGTTACAATGGACCTCGACAGATTTTTCTTTCTGTCGTCTCGCTAAGTCACCCTTGGGGAGTGGCCCAAGTATGTTGCATTGGCATGTCGTTAAGGGAAACTTGCGCAATCGTCTATGTACTGCAGTCAAGAGGTCCGCCCGCTCGAGGCCGTGCCTTCTCCGGTGGGGATGGTACCCCTCCGTTGAAGCTTTCCGGCACCGAGACTTGTCTTATACAGTCTGGAGACATACCCAACTCGGCTGATGGCGATTGATAGCTAGCCGCGTCAGTCAACCCCCGTACATAGTAAACTGCAGCCCGCTTGCGGCTCAGGCCACACGGGAAGCCATCGTTAGAGTTCCTATTCAGGTGGGTATCGAGCTTGGCGAGGTTGACCATGTTTACATTCCGCGGCTTAGCACTATAAACAGCCCACGGGGTTGCGAAACCTAGAGAGGCTTAAGCATGACGTGACAAGCCTTGACCCCAGCGAAGTCCGCTTCATGACTGTCACGACTATCCGTGGATGAATTATTGAAGTGCTGCCAGAGTCTCATAGGTTCACCTCTCAGGGTGGGCGTGGGCTACTTGCCTGCACTGTACCCTCTGCCAATTCCATGGTTGCGAGACTGAATGGCCATACCCAGCGTATAAGGCACATGCTTTCCTCTTTTGCAATCTGACTTATACCGATGTTACCCTGAAGCTCAACCAAGGCTTCCTTGAAACGCGTCTCTCTCTACAGACAGTCCGTGAGTACACAGCTAATGACTATACAGTGGGGTCGGTTTTGAATTCGAATTCAGGAGCATGATGTACACGGTCGTTCTATAACACAGCCCAGAAGTAGTCTGTTGGTCTCTGCTTGCGAGGGGATATGGATGGGAGAGGATCCTTGCCTTCAATCATAAAGGCATGAGTGAGTTATTGTCCTCAAAATTCAGTACACGTCAATAAACGCGAATTGCAACAACAGCTGCTGTCTCTCTGTAGGATGTCGACAAGCCAAGAGTGTCCTTTTAATGAGATGAAGTATGTCTGGGGTAAGACGATGCCTCTGGGTTTTCAAGATGCATCTTAATAACATTACAATGAGTTTGTCATCGCCTTGGCCAGGGGGTGATGCTGACGTGGCGATGCGTACGGCAGAAGTAGTAAGAGCGGATTATAAGGGACAGGTACTGGATATTAGCCATATATACATTCACATGTGTTACCTAGGAAGCGTACATAGTATGTCACCTTCAGGGAGCTTTGAATGAGTTGATGTTACTGTCCGGTCTAACACAGACGTCGTACTCCAGTCCGCGCAATGGAAGCTACGTATACTGTAATTGCGGTCTTGACAAGTCTCCTACGAGTTCTAGTAGTGTGACGTCTTTTTATTTGAGGAAGTCTAAGTTTATAGGAAAGAACCCGAAGTAGGTAAAGCAATTAGATGGCTCGATGTCAAACACGCACTAGAGCTTAAGGAACACCGCCACGAGAGAACTAAGCTTCCGTTATCAGACGAAGGGATATAAATATGGTATGATTGTGTGAAAAAAGTTGATTGAGCAGGCAGTAATGTCTTCGGCTGTCATCCGAGGCCAAATAGATCAGGAGTCCCGCGAGAAAGCAGCAAAGTACCCTAAAACCACCAGGTCGTTTTGATCCGAGGGAAGAAGCCATATTCAACCAAACTCAGACAAACACACTCTCTGAACGCGCTAGAGCGCTTATTCTGAACATAATACACAGAGGAAAGCGAAGCTAAGTGGCTAGGGGCAAAGTGTAGGTTGTATTGACGCTCGTTTGTAAGGGCTATGTTAAGACACGATGAGAACTCCCTATCTCTGCAAAAGATTATCGAACAACTAATGGATGGCACGATTAGAGTGAACCAAACTCGACTCAGTGATGGATGGGCGGTTTTATATTCCTCCAAAGTCGCCAGATGACGAATTTTAGAGCTGATCAAGTGACAGAACGAGGACTATGATTACACACCCAAGGAAGGATAATTGAGAGACAACATATTTGAGCATGCAGCTCAATCTTCAATTCATGTCTCGATTCCTTTCCCTCTCGCCTTCCGACTCTCCTCAGAGTACGCCTGGAAACACTTCTCGCACTCGCCACAGTTACCGCACCCCTTGAGCCGCCACTCGCCTCCAACCACAGTGAACTCTCGCGCGTCGGAACCATGGATTGAGGAGTCCAAGGGCAAAGACTTCAGCGCGGCCGCGTAATCCGGGGCAGCAGGGAGCCCGATATCCTCTTCGCTGTGAATCCTCTTCCTGGGCCTACTAGCCGTACAATTCACGTCGGCCCCGCGCTTCTCGCCCACGGCTATGAGGCGCTGGTAGTAAAGATTGTTGGGCGGCTCGTGGTTGGAGCAACGCGCCCGGTCGCACCGATCTCGTCGGACCACGTCATCCTCAATGAATAGTGCCTTGAAGTTTGGGAACCTGTCCGACTTGAGAAGGCCGATGAGGAGATCCTCTGTCTTCTCTGTGTCACTTTGCTCTGCCGAGTTACCTAAGAAGAGAACCTCCATCGACGCGGGGAGGCGGGAGATAATCCACTCTAGCGCTGCTTCGGCGGGCGTTTGCCATAGGTCTGGTATCGTGCACATATCGTAGCTGTCTGCCTGCTTGAGAAAGTCGGCGTTGTCGAGCCAGACTGGCCGGAGGCGTGGAAATGTGTTGAGTTCGAGCAAATGGAGGTGATACAGGTCACAGCCGGATTTGCGAGCAGTTTCCACCCCCCACGCTCCGTAGAGCATGATACTCTCAAGAGATTCAGCCTGGGCGTTGCGCGCTTTGAGCAGGAATCTGTCGATTTCGTGCCAGCAATCCTGATCACCTCTGACGTTGCCGTAGAGGCGGAGGGTTTTGAGGGAGCGAGGGGCGTTGAGGAGGGCTGAGCAGAACCCTGGACTCAAAAACTCTCCGCTGTCGATGAACAGGTGCTGTACGCTTCAGCAGCCGCGTGTCAGGCCGCGGGCTAAATCATTGATACCATCGCCATCCCGATCGTAGACGCCGAGGAAGTAGACGGTATCGATGCTGGGGAGCCTAAGTACACTTGCTAGGAGATCGGGGCGATGATTGACCTTACGGTCGTAGTCTAGCCAAGTTCCGGAGCGCACTTCGATGGAGACCCCACGAAGAGCGCGTAGCCCTGGTGCCCAGGGTCCGGCAAGGTGACTCATTTCGATGAGCGAAGTGAGCCATTTGAGGCTGTCATCTCTAAACCAGATGCGTTGGAACGTAGCTTTGTGCAGATCCTAGGTTCAGGCTCACCTGGTGCCCTCGTCGCGCAGAATGTATTTCACACTATTCAGGTGAGGGCATATAGCCATAAGTAAGATCTTGAGGATGCCATAGTAACCCTCGTCGAGTTGTTGGTCGGCCACACACGTATCGTCGAAACCCGGATGAAATATATCTTTGAAAAGCCGCATGTACTCCGCCCGCTCCTTATCTTCCAGCGTCCACTCCAACGGCTGCGCATCTTCGTCAAAACGTTCTCGCGGCCAAAGCCAGACGAGGTTGAACGGCCACCAGTCTTCCCAAAACCTTCGGCTACCCCTTATCTCTAGTGAGCGTATATGCCATGTGATCCAAGGGTCCTTGTGCATGACAACATTTCGCAACAATGTGGGTATAGTCGCTGGCTGGAGGTCTGAGATGACGCCGTACTTATCATGGGTTTCTCTGTGACGGCGAAGAACTCCGGCTGAACACTTGGCGATCTTCTTTCAGGTACAGGCAAAGTTCAGGTGAGAAGCGACGTCTACATGCTCGACGATGTCCATGAGGAGCTCTGCTGGCAGGAGACTAAGGCGGTCTGTCTCCTCAGCTGGCTTGTGTTCCACCGCCATGGCGACTAGAGAGTGAAGGTCAAATTACATATGTGAAATGAGGAAGATAAAAGATGATGCTGTCGAAGTTAAGGATGTGAAGATGTCGTGGGAGACTTATATGTCTATGCGATGAGACTAAGGGCGAACTATTAGACAGGGCCCCACCTGCTGCCTATGTCTGCCCGTTGCTTTCTTAGCAGGCAGGTAGAGAGCAACGTTGCGCGGAGGAAAAGCCCATCTATATCTTAGTAGTTGCCTCTGAGCCTCCCGAAGACGGGGGTGAGGTGTACAGGGATGATGGGCATTTCAATTTATCAAAGGGTCTTGTATCAAGTCATCTTGAGACGGCGATTGTCAGACAGCACCTAGTCGGCAGTGAGTTTTTGGAGTATCACAAGGTACTTCAAGGCCCCAATTGAGTATATAGAAGCCTCCAACAGAGTCGTGAGGGCCGGAGCAATCAAATCAGAGGTTTACCATGCCACTGATTGAGGTCCTGCGTTAAAGAGAGCATCAGCTCCCCAGGATATCGAGAGTTGATGTTCACACTAGGTATGTTTTCTCTGCCTCGGGATACATCCGTAGATGTGCCTAATAAGCCGGTGGGAGGAACTAGCCTGGGCAGTCTCGTTGAATTGCTCGTTTGAATATCTACGTAGTAAAGAAAGGACCCTTGATAATCACCATTTTTGGTGGTGACTTCCATCACGTGACACCGTCGAGATCAAGTACACACAGACCAACAAAGGCGGGGCAGTGACTTGCAGTGGTCCAAGCTCAAGCAAGGGACAGACAGTTCGTCACTCGCTGGGAGCAGCAACGCGGATACCCGTGCTCCCGAAACACACAACCTCGACCGCGATACCACACATTGAGCGACAAGCTGCCGACGACAATCCGATTACACAATACCAAGACTCAAGAGCCATGTAGCAAATTGCCATTCGATTGAATCTGCACAAGTAAATTCGCTTTCTGCCCGACCGCCAACATGGAACGGGCCCCTTCTGGGGCCAAGTCCCTCTTCCCTCAAGGGCCCAGCTTCACCCTCGAGGACTTCTCGAACCAGGACTTCGTGGTCCGCGAATTCGTCGACACTCTTGCCGAGAATGCCGTACCTGCGAACCGCCGATCAGGTCCATCGCAACCCGCCTTTGACCCCAAGCCACTCATTCGCACCTTTGAGAGTATGGCAGCTTCGTTCCCTTCGTCTCGTGCCTTCCTCACTAACCCCTCTCTGCAGATGCGCTGTCGCAGCTTGGATCGTTGTCCGAAGAACTCCAGGAGAAGGAATCGGAACTCCAGTCCAATGTACGAAGGGCCGAAGCCCAGCATGATCAAACACTCGATACCCTCGGTCGAAAGCTCGACCAGTCCATGGCCTCCTTCGAAGCACTCGATCTATCATTAAACCAATCCGCGACAAACGGCGACAGAAGTGCGAGACAAGAAGCAGGCGGTAATATTGCTGTGCAGATTGGAGAGAAGCTTGAAGAGCTGGACAGAAAACGGAGGCGAGCCCAGGATGCCAACTTCCTCATCCAATGCTGGATTGAGGTTAGCGAGACGGGCCAGCTCACGTCATTAGAGGAGATCCAGAGACAGGGAGGAGCCGAGAACAAGGTCCGATGCGCAGTTATCTCCCGACAGCTCATGCGAATCAGTCAGCGGCTAGACCCGACCTCTTGGGGTCAGACGAATGGTACAAACGGGTTCCGAGGAAACGGCGTTACGAACGGCGTCACGGGAACAAATCGCGTGCACAACACAAGAGAACTACTCGAGAAGTTCTCCGAGTCTTTGGAGCAGGAGCTTCTCAAGCAGTTCAACAGCAGTTACCGACGCCAAAACTTCGACGACATGATGGAGTGCTCCAAGGTCCTGTACGACTTCAACGGTGGCTCCAGCGTCATCGCGACCTTTGTAAATCAGCACCAGTTCTTCATCGACAGAGACCAATTGATTTCGGATGAAGTTATGTTGGACGGCGACACATGGGAACAGATTGCAGATCCCGATTCTGAACCACCTGGCGTCGAAGCCAGCCTACAATCTCTCGTTGACGAGGTCAAACTCGTCATGCAGGAGGAATCCTTCATCATCAAGCGCGCCTTCCCCTTTTACGAGACTGTTTTGATCAAATTCATTCAGCGAGTGTTCCAGCAGTCTGTTCAACAAAGGCTCGAGATGGTGCTGGACAAGGCCAACGAAATCTCTTCCTTGGCGTTCCTCAGATCACTGCACTCATCGAGGACATACATCAGTTCTTTGATCGAAGACCTCAAATCACACGGCCTTACCGAACATCCGGAACCGGCTTCCCCCCAAATCTCCCAGACACTGGACCAGCAGATGGAGGAACTTTTCGTTCCCTACCTTGTTGGTAATTCATACATTGACCGAGAGAGGAAGAGTCTTGAGGAAACGTACAACTCGTTGCTCTTCAAATTCACAACATACCACTCCAAGAGAAAGAAGGCACCGACTGGCTTCATGGCCTCACTTGCACAACAGAGTTCACAAATGCTATCGTCGGCCAAGGATGCATATCTCGAGCGCCTCGACTCCTCTGAGTTAACAGCCACTCAGAAGGCTATGATGCTTCGTGTTGCAGGAATACAAGACAACAATGACAACAAAAACGACGTTGAGGTGTCAGAAGAAGACGGCATTCTGAGCATAGCGAATGCCAAGAGAATGATGAAGTGGCTCGCGGAATCCGTCCGAAGAACCCTCGAACTTGGCTCTCCCGCCGACACACCAAAGGACGTCAACGTTCTCCTAAACCTTTTGCTCACAACAATGGGTCGCGTCTATGTGGAGACGGCTTTGGACGCCGCGCTCGACCAGGCGACTTCTCAGGAAAATATCAAATCGGAACCAGACTTGAGCTACCTCCCTTCAATCCGTCCCGCGGTGACCATCACTAGTATCATGGAACGCTTCATTACTACTGTGCTGATCAAGCTGGCCGAATCCAACACGACAGTCCGCCGCAGCATGTCCACGCAGACAAAATCCGCCATTGACGGCATCGAGCGCAAGACGAACGCCGTGATGCGCAGCTCCATCGATGTCGTTACCAACTGGGTCACGCGCTCTCTTTCCAGTCAGAAGAAGTTTGACTTCCGTCCTCGCGACGCAGATCTGGATTCACTTCAGACGCCCACCTGTTTACAAATGAGCCAGTTTCTCTCCCGCGTCTCCAAGCACGCCGCCCAGGCTGTGGACGGCCAGAACTTGGAGGTCTGGAGCTCCGAGGTCGCACTCGCCGTCCTGGCTCTGCTCTTTGACCACTTCAAAAAGTTCCAGGTCAATGCTACGGGCGGACTCATGGTCGCGCAGGATCTGTCCAAGTACTCTTCCACTCTCAAGGAGTGGTCGCTCGCACCGGACGTAGAAACCTCGGCCGAGCTTCTCACTGATATTGGCTCCCTCTTCATTGTCGGACCCGAGGCGCTAAGGGAGAAGTCTCGCACGCTCGCGGCGGGCCCCTCTGGCCAGGGCAAGAAGCTTACCAAGGCCGACTTCAAGGCATTTGTGCAACGTCGCGACGATGCTAGTAGCGTTGGCATCCAAAGTGTATTGGCTGGGCTTTGAGAAATAGGGGGTTTAGTGGCCAAGGTTTGGGAAAAGGGGCATTGCCGGGGTAGTTGGGGAGATTGACGCATGTGCTGTCTTATTAATGATCGAATATGATACCAGGTTTCAATGTGCACAAGCCCTGCTGAACGATCTTGACTTGTTGTCACCGACCGCCGGTCCGAGGTCACGTACCTACAGACTCGGGAACGCGAGCGCAAGAATCGCCGACTATGGAAAAGGCAGCGAGATCTCGCAAGCGCGCGCGCGCCATGACAACCTGCCCGATCTTACGGAGATACCCGTTAGTCAAGCTAAGGAATTGACAAATAATTCTCCGTTGTTAGCTTGGGGCCAGGAAGAGTCTAAGAGCACCTTTAGTCGAGCTAAGTGCTCACAAGTTTGGATTTAGGCAGGTGCTTTTTTTTTTTTTACTCTTCCTGTTCGTTCACTGACCAATATGCTGCCATTAGGCCGGCAGTCTAGCGTCGTCTCGAGACTTGGACGGCGTCGTCGCACTTGCGACTTTTAAGCTTTGCGCGCCCACACGGACAGGAGTCTACGGCCGTAAGCGCCAACGGTGTGGCGCCGTTTATTTGGGCCGTTTGGTTTCACAACGGTCTTTTTGATGATGTTATATCGTCGAACATGTGGTGTCTGTTTGTTGCCGTCGATTGGGGGTGGTGATGGTTTCTCTGAGGATATCGCAGGGGGGAGAGTTTGGGGTTTGTACTGCATTTGAGGAAATTTGTATCCCAAAGCCGGAAGAGGCATTGTCTGCCTTGCATTCGCTATGAGAACCAGGGATAGTTCACAAAAGCCAGTCGCCATCAGGGAGCATGCAATAAGATCGGGGGTTGTTTGCATAGTACTGGTGGTCGTTTGTGGGGGGCTCGTAAGGCTTCCCCCGGGCCGAGGCTAGGTGGTTAATATCCCGGGCCAGAGTACGTTTCAGGGGAAGAAGGGGATCTTTGAATTCTGACAACGTCAAGTAGACGCTCACTGAACTATGCTAAGTTGTCTCAAATCTTAAAGTCCTCTACAGTGCCGCTTATAGTGCCACGACGCAGCTTGTCGTAGGGTTCGACTGAGTCCTAAGCGTAGACAACCCACGAGCATCTCCAGTAGATTGATAGTATCTTTCTTCATGGTGACTTCGTGGCGAAGTTGAGTTCCATAGCTTGGAAATAAACTTCCATAGCTCATCATCCACCTGCATTGACTACTAAGTTGATCATTTGCCCAATACAGGCTTTGCGTGACCGTCAGCCCGGTTCTCCTGGTACTTGGAGCCAGTGAACTCAAGGGCGATCGACATTCGCAGACGGTCGACGGACAGCTAGTCATTGTAGCAGTACTGTAGTGCATCTCACAGGTGTGTATAGGGATTGGAAAGTCGATGCTTACTCTGAGATCCGTCGTCTACGTACATCTGAAAGTGGCAGTCCGACTGGCGCAGCCTAAATCCTTTGCAATTGCCCCGTCAGAGTGTCGGTGTCTCCAATTACCACGTCGAAGGTAGCGCTCTACCTACTGCTGGATCACCGTGTCATAGGTCATGACTGCGCTTGAGGACACTGTTGGCGAGTTTAAGGAGTAGCGTTCGGTTATAGTGAAGGTTTGACTGACAGTACTCTGGTATAAGAGTTTGAGAATCTACCCCAACGATCCGAGGTTCTGGTTTGATGATTACAGTAGAGAACCTCTTTCGGAACCCGAAGAATCCGATTTAGCATCCTGAGAATCTGGGTTGAGGAATATAAAGGGAATGTGGAAGCGCAATTTCGGGGCGCGAAAGAAGTAAGTAGTTTAGTTGTAGGGGAGCCGCTTCAGGGTATGGGAAAGCTAAAGAGGTGCCTGGATACTCGTTTGGCAAGTGTCATTCTCAGCCTGAGGAGGTCTTTGAAGGGGCTAGCGGAGAGTCGGGCAGGCCTTACTGGAGCAGGAACCCATGTATGACCTAGTGAAAGCTCCGTATTCGTATATTATATGAGATACCTCCTCTGGCTGCTGACAAAACATGTGAAATATGTTGAAGAAGTAGCTAAACAAGGCCGAAGCATTGCTCTAGTGTGTTTGAATCAGGGCAGAATGCTAAGAGTCAGAGAGGCAACTGCCTTTCAGGCGGTTGGGTGAGCGGTCATCAAAGCATTGCCATAAAGTACACAAATGTCCAGTATCACGAAAGGTACATACGGCACTGCTTACACCCGAGACTACCTAGCGACTATATGCAGCGGATATATAATGCCAAAGGAGTACCGGTATTGTGAAAGCCCGGGCTATACGGATAGAAGGAGGCGTTCTACGTAGTTTCCAGATGCTACGTGGTAGTATTAATGCAGCGTTGGCCAACTTCTATAACGACGAGAAACGACTGGAGGCTACGATGCACAAGAAGTCAACTTCAGATAGGTCGTGGTCCGAAAGCCCTGTTTGTTCACCTCAGAGGCTTCTTACCTCCTGAGGTTGAAGGTTCACAAACGAAGCCAAACCTCCCACGGGCCTTACCCAGGGACTCGGGACCATGTGTAACACACCCAGAACATATTCGAGAGAGACAGTCTCGGAATTTTTGCGAAAGGGAAAGAGCTTCGGGAGGGAACGTGATCCTTGCTGTCGCCCAGCAGATCGGTTTAGCGGAGAAGTGACACCTCTGAAGAAGATCCTTCACTGTTTCCTTTTCATTTGGCTTCACTGATAAGAGTCGTGTCCAAGGGACATAAGGGTGCTGGGGACGGGACAGTTCAATTATGGCATTTCCAGCTCTTCTCCTATCCTATCAAGAGTGAATCGGGGGTACGGCCAGCGATGAGGGGGGCGCCGTGACTAGGCTCGCCGAGCCGACAAGTGCCATGAATGTGACAGGCGGCATGACAGGGGCGGTAACGCACACGTCCAGATTATAATGATGACTTTGCAGAAGATCCAGCTGGTGTTCCTCCTGGGTATTGGATGGTTGAGTTCGAACCCCTCATTTTGGCCGCCTTGGGTGGTGGCGGAACCCAGGCACACAACAGAGCACTTCAGGGGGCATGCCTCCAACGCGCGTGCTGAGATACCACAAGTGACGAGCATCGTGATTACTCTCTTTCATGTACCCCGAGGAGAGTAAAAGGATTTCGGTCGTATTGCGCTAGCATTGTCGCCTGCCGGATAGGTTGGTTTGAACTTAGGACATGATTGCCATCCATCGCGGGGAATGCAGACCAATATAGCTGCGTTCCTTTGTGCCAGCAGCATCCTTCACATCCATCCCGGCGACTCATCAAAGATCGATTCTGACAGAGACAAGTAAACGAAAGGAAACAGTCCCACAAGGCGGAGAAACATGTTTCGGCAAAGGCACTCGAGCATGGCAATGGCCCTTCCTACACATTGTTGCAGAGCCTCTAGCCGCGATTGGTGACGGAGGAGGCATACTATATGTAGCTATCCTCACACGCGAATGTGTCCATAAACAGCTACCCGGTGAAACATCCGTGTATAAATGCCGCGGTTCGTAGCGACCTGAACGTGGCAGCTGAGCGACCCCCACAGGGCTTTCTCGGGCCTTGTTTGTCTCCTCCCTCGGTCAAGATGGTTTTGGTCTAGCTGTCGACCACCCTTGAACGCTATTACAACACTCTCGAACTTCTCCAGGGCCCTTACGGCCGAAACAATGACTATGATTTCCGGGGCTAGACTACAGAAGTCGCGCTACGATGCTCGAGATGTCACGTCGGCGCCCGCCCGCCGACCTGATCTGATGTCTCTGGCCTGCAGGACGCAGTCTGACGGTGAGCACGTAGTGAGACCAAGAAAACGTGTCCCATCTTCGTGGACGGGAGAGCACACCGAGGACCCTCCGAGATCTTCCCCGGGCCTTTGTGGTGCTCACATCTCAATATTCCCAATAGGGGCTTCGACCAGGTCTTCCCGATCCCTTAACCTCTGCGTCACCGTCTCGGCTCTTCTGCCCCTTGTAAGTTTATACTTCAAATCAGACATTCATCTCGCCTTGGCACGCGAGATAAGCAACGGGTATTTGTCCACTTTCCAAGGGGGGGCCAGAGGGCGGAATCCCGCATGTCTTCGAGCTTGGACACCCGGTCTCCATATCGAAGCGGATTCGGTATAGCAAAGTGGCCCTCTCCCTTACACAATTATCCCAAATAGAATCAGAAATGTCATGATGGAGCGTCAGAGTCACAAACGTCGACCGCTGTTTAAGGTTTTGACTAGTTTCTCGATCGCGACATTTCTGATCCAGAATAACAAAGACAGTCGATCACGTCGTTTCCCCCTCCCCAAAAACTTGGGCTAACGGGCCGCGCCGAAACCACCGCCCTGACAGGATAGAGAAATCGAACCGGTGTAAAGTCCTGGGATTTCTTTTCTTTCCATTCCAACGGGTGTGGCTTGGCCGTTTGCAGAGGAACCGCGTCTCGCGGATCTGGTCTCGTCCGAACGCCTCGCGCCCCTGTGTTCCTTTCGTCAATCCCAATCTCGAGCCAAGCCCCCCTATGTATCATCCCACCGAGGGCTCTTTTTTGGTACAAGACATACCTACAACAATGACTCGGACCGCTCACCGAACTTCCTATTCCAAGCCGGCCCAGTGTTATCTCAATGGAACATCAACTGACGGCCAGTAGCCTTCTCGGCGGTCCACTTCGTTGTGATGTAAGCAGCGAAGTGCAAATTCTGCCTTCATACGGGGGCCTGTCGACGGTACGAATATATGACCTATGTCTCTCGCTCATTGATCCCCCACAAGTTGCCACGTCGTACAATGTCACACAGCGTCCGGAGAACGGATGGGTCGTATGTCCCACCTCGCAAGCTCGCGGCGCAGCGGGCATGGAAGTAAGCGCCCGAACGGGAACGTAGCAGTGACGATCTGCTTTCTTTTTGGGAAAAATGCCCAGGAATGGCAACGGCAGACAGGAGTCGGCGTTGACGTCTTCGAAACCTATCTGTACTTTCATTGTCAAAGGCTGCCGACTCCGGCATGGGCTCCTCAAGTCAACAACGGAAAACCCCGTGTCGGCGACTGGGTTCACCCTCACTAGTCTGCCACCCCTGGGTCTTCCCATGCCCTCACAAGATCCTTCTTTCCCACCCTATTCACCTCAAAGGCGGGACACTTTTCCCGCGACTGGCCGAATCTTTTCGATAGTCTTACTCAAACCCCGGTTGTTGGTGAAGCGTACCTTAGTCTCACTTTAGTCTGAATCTGTACTCGCGTTAACTTCCCTTTGGATAACTTTCAGTGGTTGTGAGTCTGATTTTACCGGATTTCTTGATCCGGACCTCGTCTCGCGGTCTCCATGGCAGACCACAACTGGTCAAGGCTCATCCCAAGAGCCATGGCGACGGGACTCACCAACGGCTCCTAGTTGGACCTCGAGCTACAGTTTCGGTTTTAGTTGGACTCACAAGTGATTTGCACAGTAGGACGTTCTCTACTGTAATGGAATCCACCCGTTCCACTGAAAATCTTACCCTTCGACCAGCAGCCTCAACCACCTACAGCCAATTCGACTCCTCGCCGCACTCGTCCACGACGCTCACAAAGTCCCTAATGATAGTTTTTAAGTTGTCAAACTGTGTAAAAACGGGGTAAGCTGGCTTATACCCGGTCTTGGTCCGTCGAGCCCCGTTGGTTGTACAATGTCTCCTTGGCCTTGGAAGGCGTGGCGGATATTCCGGACACTTTCCCCGTGGGATTGTAGATACGCACGTCTGATAACTTGCATATTCAGATCTTCGACCCATGTAGGCGAAATGGTCATCACGGTAAGTATATCAAGGAAGGCACTGTGCCGTTGCCGGCCGGGTAACTCGATGACAAGCAGGGGAGGCCGCCATGCTTGGGCCTAATGTACTATGAAGCCATTGCGCGAACATGATTCGAGGACACATTCCTATGGTGTGAAAGTTTGGCTAAACCCCTTGGGTCAAATAAGGTAAGTAAGTATATGAATTCAAGGTTACTAAGGTAGTAAAACATGAAAGCGTCCAAAAACAGTTCAAGTTGCGGTGTATGTCATTCCGTTCGCTCTGACCAGCTTCACTCTTCTGTTATCATACGATCTCGTAACCGCTTTGCGTTGGGCGGTCATCGTCCTGCAACCTTTGGTCCGATCCTGCAAGTCATTTTCGACGAGGGCTGCATGAGGCGCTCCTTGAACCAGATAGTCAACGCTGTCGTCAGCCAACCACGTTGGAACAGTGCCTCACCGGGATAGCCAAGACTGCCGGTCTGCCCAGTCATCCTCCATCGTCAGTCTGAGGGGATCCTTGCCGACCCCAGTTATAAATAAGAAAGGAATTTTCGGCCCTCGTGCTCGTGGTCGGATGTTTGGTATCAACAATTTTTTTTCGAATCACACCTTTGCCAACCATTTCCAGCTGCGTTTCATACACAACCACCGGACAAAGCAGCAACTCGCAAGCGCCATTGCGAGGACTATCGCAAGAAAGACAATCATCAGGCGAGTGCGGCTGCCCTCACCGTCCCCTAGGACAGCCTGACTGGCTGGGTTGCCGACTAAGGTTGCCAGACTCACAACAGCATAGCAGCAGCCGATGTATGTGCCACTGTCTTGCGGGTCGCAGAGTCGTCCAAGACATGTAGCAGCCGTCGACACAAAGCTACCGGTACCGAATCCAAGACAAAAGGCCACGGCATAGAGCGTAGGCGCGGACGTGTCTCCGAACGCTAGCCACAACACAAGCATGGTCGCCTCTGTGAATATTGTCATGAGTATAGTCACATTGAAGGGGCCTATTTTATCGGTGAAATATCCAGGAACAATCCTGCCGAAGGAAGACCCCCTGAGAAAGCATAAGCTGAAGAACCAAGCGCCGGCCCTGAGATTCCACGGCGATCAAGGGGGGTGGTGAACTTACACACTGAAGACAAGGATCAAGTAGAATACATCGCCGAGCTTGACTATTCTGGCATACGTGGGCAGGAGACCCCACGCTACGAACAGCACCAACTCGAAGCCTGCCATCACATTGCATTAGGGCTACTGATACTTGATGAAGTTGGTGTGGTACAACTGCCATACCGCATACGCTGAAGGTGAAGAGGACAAACTTCCAACGCCTGAAGCAGGCAAAGTCCCACATCTTTCCTTTGCGAGCCTTGAGTACTCTGGGCCTCGTCAAGGCGCACCCGAGGGATAAAAAGGCGCAAATTATGGCAAAGTGGATGAGGCTTGCCGTCGTCCACTCGAAGTTCTTCGTGGTGAACCGAAGCACCACGGAGAAGATCACCCCACCCAGTCCTCCACCCATGGTGCAAATGCCCATGGCCAGTCCCTTCTTGTCGTCGAACCAATGATTAATAACGGCTAGCGCAGTGGTGGTCAAAGCCGCTACGTCCGTAACGTTAGGATAATTCTTGACAGTTACGCTTTGCCCGAGATGGACAAAGAACCTACCTGCACTTATACCGGCAGCACAGAAGCAGACCATGAATTGCCAGTATTGACTGCTGAAGGCGACGCCCAGGAAGGCCGCGCTGTACACAATTGTTGCGGGGGTCACGAGCCATCGGGGCCCGAACGTGTCGAACAGGATGCCAAAGGGGCCGCAGAGTAGAACAGATAGAAACCCAAAGATGGATATAATCCAGGATATGTCCGTGTTAGACCACGGAGCAAGCTGGTTTTCCTTCCAATACACCTGAAAGATGCCCACGGTCGTCATTAGACCGAACGTCGGGATCATAAACGCCGTTGATCCTACAAGAACGGACCAAGCCCCCCATCCACCGTCTACGGGCTCTCTTGATAGCACCTTGACCTGGTCGTTAGAGGCATGATGTACCGTCGAAGGCTGCTGAGTCTGGGGCAACGTCGGGCGTCGGGTTATGGCAACGGGGCTGGAGTGAGAAACGGGTCGTAGCGACGGCAATCTGCTCAAAGGGACGTAAGTCAGATCAGTCAGGTCCGCTAGAAGAAACAAGGAGGAGAGCTGAGGGGTCCATGAACATGCCCTATGCCTGTTTTATGGCGGAGTGACGGCATGCCACACGCCCTGGAGCGTGTGGTTTCCTCGACATCCATGTTTGGAGCGGCCGCTACCTGAGACACTGATGCTGTACGCTGATCGAGCTGA